GATATCATTATCGAAAACTTTGGCTCAATAATTGTAGTTGTGGATAAGATTAATCAGGAACATAGCAGTGCATGATAAGGGAAGATGTTCTCGAGACTAGAGCAGTTCAGATTTCACACCGTGGCTGTCAACGAGGGCTGACCTCAGTGATATTTCCAGCGGAGAAGAATCCATGCACATCTTGCCAGCAGTCAGCTTCTTGTCTTGAGGTCCTTTGTTTTGATACACATGAAGCTTTAAGTTGATAGGAATCATTGTCTCTTCATCAGATAGAAGGGGCAGTGTGTTCGGTTGTTAACTTGGTCACCAACCTATTGCTGCCCAAATGAAATTGCATTATCATCGAAAGGCAGATAATTGTCATTTGGTCTCTTCTAAAGCTCATGCTTGCAACATTCTTACAGAACTCGAGTCAAAGATACAGTCTGTAGCCCGAGACTAAACAATCCACAGTTACAACCTTAAATTAGATGAAGTTGTCAAGGAAGAAGAGAGAGAGAGAGAGAGAGAGAGAGGGCAGTTTCCGGTCACTTGAATGCCCTCCCTGAAACATCTTTAGTACCAAGCCTTCATTAGTGAAACATACTCATCAATTTTATTTGTAGATATAAAAGACTCAGAGAAAAGCTACATGAATCTAAATCTATGCCTCCAAAGTTCAACCACTCGCTGCATAAAGCCACCAACCATGTGCTCTTGTGTAGAACTTGTTCCTTGAGCAGGGGCTAAAAGGGCTTGTCGTCCTATTCCTTATCCAACCAGCCTAATTAAATCAGGAGTGCATGTCAAGGGTCTCATATAAATGTTTTCTAGATGTTATGATGATTCGTTCGCCAACCATAAATCCAATTCTATATCTCCACTTGCTCAGGTAACTTTGGAGTCATTTGCCTTTAATGAATGCTAGATAGATGATTCTTTTGATTTGGCTGGTGGTGACATTATTTTTTAAGTTGGACCAGTGGAAGAACCCAGCAAATAAATTCATATTAAAGGAGGCACTCAGTCCCCTAACCCTCAACACAAGCAATCTCATGGCCAGACCCAAGTTGAGAAAACTAGATTCATTAGGTTATCAAGAAAACTGGCGTGGCCTCCTCATCCAAGGCAAGTTTTGATGTGAAAAGGGAGACAGTGATCACTGTGGCTGACCTGAAAAAAATGTCTGATGACAAAACCCCTATCATCATTTTATGGCTAGGCTTTACCAACTTGAATAGAGATTGCAATATCTTATGTCATGTAACAAATATTGTAATGCAGTCTAAAGATGACACAGATATGAGATTGCTGCAAGCCACTCTTTTTTCAAATGGGATTGATTATATATAATATCCAGGTGATCGATCAGACCAAAGGAAAAGAAATATGATGCTTTTGGAAGCACTCAGTTGTTCCATTACCTGCATTGTTTCTAGATCTTCACCACTTAATCCAACAAGGCCCCTATGAAGAAATAGATTTTTGTACCTGAAATATGTGCTATGCTATGCTATCACACAGAACATTTAGGAGGAATTTTTACAAAAGTGGATTCACTTTGGAGTCCAATCACTATGAACACAAGTACACAGGATGACACATTGGACAGGAGTGGCTAAACAGTAAGCAAGACATTTCAGAGCACAGTGTGGAATCTCTGACGTTGAAGTTCAATGATGAAGAGTTTTTATGTCTTTAATTGAAGAACAAGCTTCAAAAAATATCACAGAGGTTTCTTTTTCTTTTTCTCTTGTCAAGAGAGGAGCAAGTGCTTTTTGAAATGAGAGATACTCTGGTTGAATTCATCAAGTGACTCACATGAAATGCACAAGTAGACAAGGATATTTTCTGCTCTCTCTCTTTATATATATATATATATTCTAGGACAAACTAATGTTACATTACCTCTAAAAGAAAATATATTTTTGTTTGCTTCAACTGTACCAGAAATTTATGAGAAATGATAGGGAAGAGTTAAGAGAATTTTACTACAGACAATAGAAATAGATTTGATAGCTCCTAATTTAACTATATATATTATCCTAAAATTGCCGCTTCTTTATGTCTGACATGATTCCACATAGAGCTGCTCAAAGTTAGAGCTTCTAAACTACACGATAATATATTTTTTTTATGCTGAAGATTTGGACTACACAGCTTTCAGATGATTCACCGATGCTGGTAATGGTCAAATTATTCGATAAATTTGGAACTGTAGAAACATGTTGTGATGACACGCATGCTGAGAATGATGCTGGCATTTTTATTTCAGCCAATGTAAGCAGCTACGCCGGAGAGCTGGAAACCTACTGATTTCAGAGATGTTCATATACTCTCTCTCTCTCTCTCTCTCTCTCTCTCACACACACACACACACACACACACACACACATACACACACACAGTCACACGTCAAGATGAGTCCCACACCGCACAAACTGATGCTGATCCCACCACGAGATTCCTATTCTCCACCACTCTGCTGATAATTTAGTAGGAGCTTTGATGAGTCTTTCTCATGAGGATGATCGCCGGAGATTATTCCATGGCTCACAAGTCATAATGTCATATTCACATGAGAGCAGAGACTTTATATATCTTTTTATTATGATACCCCTCTCTGATTGCTGATGGCCACACAGTTTAGAAGGTAAATGGTGTGCGGCAGATGAACATTAACTATATTTTCTACTTCATCAGTTAGATCTGCACACAAGTTGATGCACAGTTATTTGGTAGATCTGCACATCAGTTGTTTGGTAACTTTTATAGATAAATAAAATAATATTCCTCGATGGTTGTGTGATTGCCATCAGGGAATTAAACAGGAATACCAATTATATGATCATGTATGTTCTTATGAACATTCTACTAAGTCTCCATGTCAACATCAGAATGAAATGTAATAGAATCACCACAAATCCTTGTTGAAGTCAGCAAAAGAAATGTTTTTCCTCCATCTTCATTCAAACACTTGACTCTATCAAACTGAAAACGTCAGATTGAACCACCAGAAGGAGGAGAATCACTTGACTCATATGATTCTGACCGATCAAACAAAATCACATTCCATTACAAAAAGAGAGTACCATTTTACAGAAGAACAAAGGAATCTAAAAGGCAGTGTAGGGTCCTTCTGATGTTACTCGTCATAAGCACCAAGATAGATCGGCTACATATGTTTACTTGTACTAATTTTGTTGATGCTGCAAGAACTATGAAACCCCACAACAACTATTTGGTTGCATCATAACATCTGTAGTTATCTTCATAGGCAAAGACGACGAAACGTTAAGCGGCAGCGACTGTTCCACCACCGTCGGATGGCTTGGAGCCACTAGCAGCAGAGGGCATCTCCTTCGTGGAAGTGAGGGAGCATTTCTCTCTCTGCTCATCGAGGTTCATCTGCTGCTGACGGCATTCGAGGCTACAGAATGCGATGTCACCTCTGCAACATGAAAGACGAACATGTGCATGCAAAGCTTGTAAGAGCAAGAGTTCAAACATTTACTGATAATTCCATGAAATTTGAATTACAAAAAAAGAATTAAAGCCTTCACTCATGGAGGAGATATGAAAGACCAATCGGTCATTTTGTTGAACTACAAAGACATGAAACTCATAACACTATCGAATAGATATATGCATGCGCACAAGATGTTTAATTCATAACACTGCTGCATAGACACATATAATAAGACTGCTTTTGAATGGAAGCTTCAGAGATTATAATTTTATGGATTCCATAAAGAGTAATTAACATAAAACAGGGCAATAAGGCTTATGCTTAAGCCAACGTGGAGTTGATAACAACACCATATGGAATCTAAACGTGGAAACTCAGTAACTACTATAAAGTAAAAGACAACTAACTAATTGGATTCAACTAAATCTTTCCAAACAAACAAATCAAGACGATGGTAATATTATTCTATCCACACGTACGCAACAACATTAGTTACGATGTTGGAGCACCGCACACAGATCTCTTCGGATCTAATCAGTAATTTCCTCTCAGAACTATCATCGTGACAAGCACAATCTGGGATCGAAGCTAAAGATCTAACTGCGGTTTTCCCCCAATTATCAACAATATTAGATCTTCTAGACACAATATGTTAACGAACTACAAGGAAACTCCAAATCCTCGTCTCGAAAACAATAGAAAGAATTGAAGTGAAACCTATAAGCAGAGAATCGAGATCTTTTATGGTGAGAAAAGATTCGATCTTTAAACAGGAAATTGTCGACAAAACCCAAAAAGACGGGGTTTATAGCGCAAAAGGTTCGTGACGGAGTGAAAGTACCTATACATGTAAGCATCGCGGCCGGGTCCGAGGCCGCGGTTGCAGAGGCCGCAGGCCCTCAAGAAAGGCGCCGCGAAGTCCCCGGAGCTCCTCCTGTGCACGCCGCCTCGGGGCGACAGCATGGACCCCGTGTACCACGTCGTTCGCCAGTCCGCGCCCCACCGCGACTCAAGGTGACGAACGCCGATCGCCACCTGATCGAACGGCTGCGGTGCCTCCACGTCGAAGAGGACGCTGGATGCGAACTCCGTCGAGCTCGTGGTCCGCCTCATCGGCGGCCTCGGCCGCTTCTCCAGCAACATCACCGTCCACTCTTCTTTTCCTTCGGAGCAGTGCAAGCGAGGTGAGGAGGCGGTTACAAGACCGGAGATCACCGAGCGTGCGGAAACGGAGGGAGGGTGGTAGGGGAGATAAATAAGAAGAGAATAGATCTGGACCGTCCAATCTTGATCTGTCCTTTTTTAGGTTTTAGCCTATACTTTTCCTATATATATATATATATAATATATATATATATATATAATAATAAATAATAATAATATATATAT